TCATATATTAAGTGGTCAGCAGGTATGGCTATCTCTTTGGATACTGGAGTGCCATGGGTAATGTGCCAGCAATCGGACGCTCCAGATCCCATTGTGAGTTTTTTATTTGATTAATGTTTTACATGGTAATTAATTGACTTTGGTTCTATTCTATCTGCTGCATAGTTTTGTGTTGTTAATCTGCTAAGCTATTCCAATTTTTTTTTTTTTCTTGTTTCTGTGTGATCAATGTTTCATTTTTGTTTTTCTGGCTGACAGATTAATACCTGCAATGGATTCTACTGTGATCAGTTCACCCCAAATTCTAACACCAAACCTAAAATGTGGACTGAGAATTGGAGTGGATGGTATGGTTTCTGACTTGTCCATTCTACATGCTAACAATTTGGTCGCCTAGATTAAATGTCTCCATCAATAAGAGTTGGTTGTTTATCTGTCCATTCTAATGTTTGTTTGGATATTTCTCATTCATTATTTACTTTGCCAATAACATCAAATACTAGGTTTCTTCCCTTTGGTGGTTCTGTTCCCTATAGGCCTGTGGAAGACCTTGCATTTGCTGTTGCACGGTTTTACCAACGAGGTGGAACATTCCAAAACTATTATATGGTATGAAATTTGGAGTTTACAGTCAAACTAATACGGTTTTTATGTTATTACTTCTACTCTAGAAACTGATATGATCTAAATCCAAGACAAATAAGAACTTTATAAAACAACAATTCTTTTGGTTACATGGTAAAACAGTATCATGGTGGAACAAATTTTGGCCGGACCAGTGGGGGACCCTTTATTGCTACTAGTTATGATTATGATGCTCCAATTGATGAGTATGGTATGCTTTCTTGACATGTTTTCCTTCTATCTATTAATCCATCCAGTATCCATTCCTTGACTGTTTAATTAGATTGATGCAAGGGTTATTAAAGCACTTCTATGGTGCTGCTGTTGTATTGTGTGTAGCATTGAAATATGATTCTCGATAATTGCTGAAATCATAATAGCAGTTTTCAACTTTTCATATCTATTGCAGGGATTCCTAGACAACCTAAGTGGGGTCACCTAAAAGATGTGCACAAGGCAATAAAGCTTTGTGAAGAAGCATTAGTAGCTACTGACCCAACATATACTTCTCCTGGTCCAAACTTGGAGGTAGAACCCATTGCAATTCACTAATTTCCTTCTTTTTGTCAGCAACCCTTGCTTCCTAGCTAATTTTAGGTATCAAAAAAATTGTCAATGTGTTTTTTCCGAAGTTTATTCATTAAAATCCTAGTCCAACAGCTTCTACTGTCTTTTTATGTCTGCAATGGATATATATTTTTTTTCCCTCCCAGGCCACCGTATACAATACTGGATCAGGAATATGTGCTGCTTTTCTTGCCAATGTGGGCACATCAGATGTAACTGTCAACTTTAATAGCAATTCATATCGCCTGCCTGCATGGTCTGTGAGCATTTTGCCTGACTGCAAGAATGTAGTTCTTAATACTGCAAAGGTTCGTCCCATTTGTGCTGTTCTTCTCCTTGAGATTCAACTAGTTTGCAACTTACATGTATTTGGTTGTGGTAAACAATGCTTCATAAGCTTGTATCTCTTATGTGAGTTTGTTGGTTACGGTTTTGATTTCTTTCTCATCAGATTAATTCCATGACCATGATTCCCAGCTTCATGCACCAAGCTTTGAATGTGGATACTGATTCCACTGAGGCAATTGGCTCCGACTGGAGTTGGATAAATGAACCAGTGGGTATCTCAAAGGATGATGCGTTTACCAAGTCTGGATTATCAGAGCAAATAAACACTACTGCTGACCAAAGTGATTACTTATGGTACTCATTGAGGTATCAACCTGTTTATCTTTTGTAATTGATTTCTTAAGACATGTTTGTGGGCCCCCCAACAATTCTTGAATTTACAAAATTTTGAGAAACTGTTCTGGTTGCTTTTGGCAGCATTGATATAAAAGGAGAGGAGCCTTTTCTTGAAGATGGATTTGAAACTATTCTTCATGTGGAATCACTTGGCCATGCCCTTCGTGCTTTTATAAATGGGAAGCTTGCAGGTGGTGTGAATTAAAACAGTGCAGTTTTACTGCAATGTTCTTTGTCTGGTTGCCAAAGATACAAGTTTACTGCTCCCATAATTTTTTTTTTCTTTTCATTTCCCCTAAAGTTCCGCTTTCTTATCTTCTATGGATGCATCTCTATCATTAAATTTTAGTATGGATGGAATACATTATAGGACTCAAAATGTTCATGTCTGGGCTTTTAAATGTATAAAAACTCATATATTCCAATTGCAGATTCAGCTTGAATTCCTGCTTAGCTTTGTGCAAACTGATTCAGTCAATAGCAATACTGTCTATGTTTCACATTTGGACCTTTTGCAGGGAGTGCAAACGGTAATAGTGACAATGCCAAGGTTGCAGTGGAAATCCCTATCACACTCGTACCTGGAAAGAACACAATAGATCTCCTGAGTATGACCGTAGGACTTCAGGTTCTGTCCCGTTACTAAGATTCATGTTTCTATTTATTAAATCTAAATAAGGGAAATTATCATTATTTTCTGGTGTAGCAGTTGCTATGGTTGCTGAATATTATTCTGTTAGATAACCTATAGTTCAACCATGTATAATGGTATGGTGGCGAAAAAAAAAACCATGTATTAGATATGAACATTATCTTATGTGAACCCTTTTTTTACGCATATCCCATATCAGAATTATGGAGCCTTTTTTGATAAGTGGGGGGCGGGCATTACTGGTCCAGTGGAGTTGAAAAGCTCAAAGAATGGGAACAGCATTGATCTCTCCTCACAGCAGTGGACATATCAGGTCAGTGTCATTTTTGTACCTCTGTGCTTATTGAAGGGAAATCATCAATCCTAACAGACATACATGCTTCACTTCTTTAAAAATGGCCAAAGAAAGCCTCTAAACTGGGTAAAGGGAAAAAAAGTGGATATAACTGCCAAAAGGATTATATGCAAAGACTATTCAACTTTCCTGCTTTCTGAAATCATGACTACAGATTGGACTAAAAGGAGAAGATTTAGGTCTGCCTACTGGAAGTTCTTCACAATGGGTTTCACAACCTGACTTGCCCAAGAACCAGCCACTGATATGGTACAAGGTAATTGTTTGAATTAATGTTTTGTTGTGGGGTATTCAAATAGAATTACCTTATTACAGCACAACAGAATTAATAAAACACAATTTTTGAGTAGCTATTTTGCTGGTCATGGCACATTTGGTTCTTTTTATCCATTTCATCTTAAGTTTAGGAATTCCATAAACATAGGCTACTTCAAATTATTCATGATTAGCAGGTACCATGGAATCAACTTCTCAGATTCTAATATATATGTAGTACTTCTTATTCAGAAGTTGTTTGATGCCCCTGCTGGAAATGACCCAGTTTCCTTAGACTTCACTGGGATGGGGAAGGGTGAGGCATGGATCAATGGACAAAGTATTGGACGTTATTGGCCAACCTATATCTCTCCAAACAGTGGCTGCACTGACCCTTGTGATTATAGAGGAACTTACAAATCAGAAAAATGCCGGAAGAACTGTGGGAAGCCATCCCAAGTACTGTAAGTGCTGAAAATTTTGTGTACGGATATCTCCACATTCAAAAATTGTTTACCACGATATATCACTGTCTCAGATATCATGTACCCCGCTCATGGTTACAATCAAGTGGCAACTCTCTTGTTTTGCTTGAGGAAATTGGTGGGGATCCAACACAGATAGCTTTTGGAACCAGACAGATGGGAAGTTTGTGCTCACATGTGTCAGAGTCTCACCCATTACCTGTGGACATGTGGAATTCAGCTTCAAAAACAGAAACAAAACCAGGGCCTACTCTGTCACTAACGTGCCCATATACAAATCAGGTTATTTCTTCAATCAAATTTGCTAGTTTCGGAACTCCTAGTGGATCTTGTGGAAGTTTTAGCCATGGCCAGTGCAGTAGTGCCAGGGCACTTTCCATCCTACAAAAGGTAGTCTTTCTCACTCTTTGCTAGGAGGTTCATCTATTTCCTCCCTTTCTTAACTGGTGTAGTTAAAATGACATACACATCCAAATGCTGATGACTATCAAATTCTACAGGCGTGCATTGGATCAAGGAATTGTAGTATCCCGGTATCAGCCAGTACATTTGGTGATCCGTGTGGAGGAGTAACAAAAAGTTTGGCAGTAGAAGCTTCCTGCACATGAAGAAATGTGCTAATAAAACCATGCAATTGATTTGGCATGCAAGTGAAGCATTCTACCCAAGTAAGTTTCAACCAAATAAGCTTGTCTATACAAACTAGCGCTTTCAACAATGAAATGAAAAATAAATGGTTTCATACAACAGTGTATTCTGATTATATTACAAGAAAAAGAATAAGATTACATTGAGAAGACACTCTGGTCCATTGTAGAACTTATGAATGCGTCTTTTAGCAGCAGCTGTGCCTTCTTTTGTGACAAAGAAAATGCAAAGCCAATTACGGTCTTGTTCCATAAATTTATATCCTATCATATGAATGTTTTCCTGCATTAGCAAACCAGTTCAAGACTGCATTGGATTCTTCTTTATTATTATTATTATTTTTTTTTTGTATTAATCTCTCGATATTCGGTAACTATATTGAGTCTCGACTAATCTGAAATCGAGTCGCATCGAATCTTATTTGAGAAAGCTCTCCCAACGTTTATTTCTTTATTCACAAGACACAAACTCGAAATCTTTCTTAAGAGAAATTGAATTTCTTCTACTCAAATCAACAGGTGATTGGTTTTTCTTTATTATTTACTTGCATAAATAAGACTCCTTTTTGGTACATCAAATGGTTTGCTGCTTGGCATGATAAGAGTTTTGAATCCCTAATTTTGATTTTAGACTAAGATTTTTTAATTAGTAGATATTAATTCGACCAAACTAACATGGGTGTAAACAGTAACTTAGAGCTAAGAAATTCCGACTTTTAGTTCCAACATATTCATGTCTTCATTAGTCCCTACTGACAAAAAAAATGTCAGTTTAAACTAAAAAGACATTTATGAAAACACATATTCAACCTACAAGATAGTGTACATTGGGCAAAGCTGGTAGCCTTTATTCCTTTTTGTCAAATACAACAATATTACAGGCTAAATTCTCTAATCCTAGATGGCTGCAAGAGTAGTAGCTTGTCCTTTGAACCTGCAAACCTTGCATAGCGGCGAGACCAACGACGGTGTTTCGTATCTGTCTTCTCCGCCCATCATCGGCATTGGAACTCCTCTCTTCACAGGACTAACGTAGTCCGGTCCGTAAGTCTTGCCCAAGACTCCTTCCACCTGATTCGTTAACCCTGTAAATTTGAACTGGGTCTCCAAATGGGCAAAGGCATCGTCCGCTGGCAACTGGTAGTTGTGAACCTTGTTCTCCTTCTCTCCGATGGGTCTCACTTTCACGTTCATTTCCAGCAATCCGGCCACTGTCACTTTCATGCTGTTGGTATTATCAGTTCTTTCCACCACCACTTCCCTTTCTCCGCCGTTAGCCTTCCACTCGGCATCTCCCTCGGCGGGGATTTCGATTGCTTCGCCGTCCCATCTGATGGAGAGAGCATCTACGTCATCGTCCCATTGGGAGACTCTGTTAGCGGAGACAACTAGGTTGTGAGAGTCGAACATAACTGCTAGAGCTTGCACCCAAGTGAAATCGCGAGTCCTTCCTTCTGGCCGTGTTCCGATGAAATGGGCGTTGATTTGGAGGTTATCATCTGATACTATTGCGTAGTTCCTTCCCTTGGCGCCGTGGAAATAGAACATTACACCATCACCGCCGACAAAACGTGGGTCGTAACACAGAGAGCCATACCCATCGCAGTTCGCCTTTCTCCCTGTCACAGGGAACAACAAAACCCTCAAGATAACTCGGAAAAACAGAACAAAACATAAAATAGGAGAAAATAGGAGAAAAGGGTACAGCTTACATTTGCAGGTGACTTCACACTTGCTGCTGCAGTCGATGAAGCATCCTTTATGCTTCCTGTTCTGCTTCGGCTTTCTCACTGGGCACTGCGACGGACAGGTGAGGATTTTGTTGTGGCAGGCTCCTCTAGCCAAGCACAGAACCAGTTCCTGCCCTGTTTTTGTAGGTGACAAAACTTGGTAATGTGTTGAAGCAGCATCGAGGTTTCTCTTACTGCTGCTATTGCTGCTTTGAGCTTGAACACAGGTGGCCTCCATGAACATGAGCATCAGTAGAATTGAAGCCAAAGTGCAGGAGTAGTGTCTTTGATACATTTTTAACACGGAGGATCTGCTGATGCTTGAAGTACTGTAATCAGTATGAAGAAGAGATAGGTTGGCATGGAGGTGAAGCGCCAAGGAGCGCATATATAGAACCTTTAGGAGCAACATGGCCTTGGAGTTCGGCTGAATCCATGTCGAATTTCTTCTTATACCATAATAGAACAGGTGAGATACAGCTCTATGCTTTCTTTCTTTTCTTTTCTTTTCTTTTTTTATTTTTTTTCAAAAGAGTTTATTAATATCAGACTTACTCTAATAGAGAAGAATTTACCATTAATTATGCGTTGCTAAACAGGGCTCGTGGGTGTGTCCAAGAAGTGAAAGCGTACAAAAATTTGAAATATGTGGTGTCTAATACTTGATCCGGGTCTCAATTTTGTGGTGGCTTCCAACCATAATCTATGGAAATATGTGGGGTCTAATACTTGATCTGTGGTCTTAATCTTTATGAGTTAATTTATGGTGATTCCTGAATCAGATATAATCTAATGGTAGATTTGTAATGTTTTTGTGCCTGCTGCAGTTGCAGCATTATGCACGCAATCGAGGAGTTCCCTGCATTGGAAGAAACCACTTCAACTAGTTCTACAAAATACAGAAACAGGGCAACTGGTGATGTTGCTTTCTTCCCTAAATCCTGTAATTATAGTATTAAATTCTTCTAGCTAAATCCCCGGTTACGTTATGTCCTCTTGCATGTGATTATAGAGCTCTAATGCTAACTCGGATCCAGTGATCAACATGGATCATTAATTAATTAGAATTCAAACACATATCTAGTTCAATTAGCATCAGTGCATACTACCCTTTTACTTTCTTTCTTAAACCTTCGAATTTGCTTTAACTTGTGTGAATTCAAAGACAAATACTTAGTCCAATTATGTTGTTGGCTGAAACAGTAAGAGAATGTCGAAGGAATATAGAAATGGTTTGACTAGGATATACAAATTCAGGTAAAATGGATTGAGTAAAAGTTTGGATTTCTTTCTTTTATATTATATAGAGAAGGGCTAATTAATTACCCATATTGTTTTACATGGTGCAACTTGTTGACATCATATAATTGCTTCCTCTTCTGCAATGATCAATTAGGCTGTAGTATGTAAAACCTGATTAAAGGGGAACTTGTTGATATTGTCCCTTTTTTTTTTTTTTTTTTTTTTTTTTTGGACGAAGCATGAAACTCAACTTTAATGAAACATTGACTGTTCTAACATCACTGGCAATTTGTCATGAGATAATATTTGAATTCAAGCAGAGTTGCCAGCAAAAATTTAACATTGAAGATATACTTTGTAAGGAAAATATGAATGCAATCAATATAATCAAGAAAACTTGCTTCTTTATATGGTTTTCCCAAAACAAGTTAGGTTTGTATATGGGCAACTTTCAAAGCCCTTATTTATCTTATGCTTATCAATAAAATCATATAGGGTGTAAGTACACTTGCAAACAAAGATTGATATTTAGATTGTAGATTCCTGTTTTATTTCTCTTAATTAGTTATGTTGTTGATATGGAGGAAAGATCTTTAGATCCTGGCAATGACAATCTCAGATGGCCTTTGGAATCTGCAACCCATGCAGATTGGTGAGAGGAGGGATGGAGTCTGGTATTTGTCCTCCCCACCCATAATTGGCATTGGCACCCCTTTCTTTACTGGGCTGACATAGCCTGGCTGGTAAGTCTTCCCCAGGACTCCATCAACAAGTTCACTCAGGTTGCTGAACTTGAACTGTGTCTCAAGGTGAGCAAAAGCATCATCATCAGGTAACTGGTAGTTGTGAACTCTGTTCTCTTCTTTTCCAATAGGCCTGACCCTAATGTTCAATTCCACCAGCCCGGAAACTGTCACCTTTACACTGTTCCATTCATCGGTTCTCTCAACCACCACCTTCCTTCCATCTGTATCAATCCTCCATTCATCTTCGGGGATATTGATTGTCTCACCATCCCATCTCACAGAGAGAGCATCAACACTGTCATCCCAATGGGAGACCTTGTTTGCTGCAACAACAAGAGTATGAGTATCAAACATGACAGCCAGGGCCTGTACCCACGTGAAGTCTCTAGTCCTTCCTTGTGGTCTGGTTCCAATGAAATGAGCGTTGATCTGCAGGTTGTCATCGGAGACAATAGCAAAGTTTCCTCCCTTGGCTCCATGGAAATAGAACATAACACCATCACCACCCACAAACCGAGGATCGTAGCAGAGAGTGCCATATCCATCACAGTTGGGCTTCCTCCCTGTTAAAAAGACATTAAGTAGCTTAACTAGGTGAGCCTTCCACTTAGAATTGTGACATAATGCAATGTTTGTCCTAGCTAAATCATTTTCACAAACAAAATGGGGAAAATAAGACCACCAAAAGTAAAGATTAAAAAGTATATATGTAGGCACATGCTTACACTTGCAGGTGACTTCGCACTTGCTACCGCAGTTAACATGGCATCCCTTCTTCTTGTTCTGCTTGGGCTTTCTCTCTGGACACTCAGCCGGACAAACAAGCGACTTCCCGTAACAAGCTGATCCTTTCCCTTTGCAGTATGCATGTTCTCGTCCATCATCCCCCGTTCTCACATCGTAGTTGGTTTCATCTTTGTCATTGTTTTCATTTCCCTTGTTATTGTTGTTACCACCGTTTCCTTTTCCATTGCCATTGTTTCCATTTCCTTTGTTATTGTTGTCGCCACCTTTTCCTTTTCCGTTGTCATTGTTGCCGCTGCTTCCTTTTCCGTTGCCCTTTGCCTTGTCGTCGCCCCTTACCCCAACAGCGGCGGTGAAGATCAATACGAGGAGGAGGGTCGTCAGGAGATATGACCTCAATGAAGCCATATCTTTGTCAAGATGGTACTAGTTCTAACGACCAAGCAGATAGTTTGTTTCTTTCTAATTTGCTTATGGTTGATATGTGGAAGGGTTTAAATAGGGGGGGCTTTGGCGGAAACCATGCTTAGGAAATGGGATTATTCCTTTCTTTTATGGAAAATATATGGCATCAACAGAAAGACGTGGTCTTCAACTTCAAGCATTCTTTAAAACGAAATCTCAATGATTTTTTGGGAAAAATGTTTTCTTATGTTCTCTT